GCCGCCGCACACGCACACGCCCAGGCTCAGGCCGCCGCCGCCGCACACGCTCAGGCGGCTGCCGCCCATGCGCACGCGGCGGCGTCGCACGCACAGGGTACATCCGCTTCCTCTCGCAGCTCCGGCCAGTCAACGCTGAATGGTCGCGACGGCAAGTTTGGCCTCCTCGGCGTCCTCAACACTGTTCAGATGACCGACAACAAGCTGACCCTCCTTGCGCTCGGCACCAACCTCACCCAGCTCGGGCTCGACCTCAACTCGTCCGAGCCGCTCTACGCCTCGTTCGGCTCGCCATTTGCCGAGACCGGGACCGCGCGGACCGAGCCAGAGTTTGACCTCCCCTCGTGCTACTACCTCAACAACCACATCGCGCCGCCGACTATCAAGCCGGCCCTGCTCTCGGACGAGACGCTGATGTACATCTTCTACTCGATGCCCAACGACACCGCCCAGACCACTGCCGCCATCGAGCTCACCAAGCGCGATTGGAAGTACCACAAAGAGCATCAGCTCTGGTTCCAGCGGGTGCCTAACACCGAGCTGATGAAGACCGCCACCTACGAGCGCGGCTCCTACATCTACTTTGACGTCAACACCTTTGACCGCGTCCGCAAGGACCACTTTGTCCTGCAGTACGACCAGCTCGAGGATCGTTCCGTCCCCGCCACCGCAACCTATGTCCCCGGCGCCGACCGGTGATTCCCTCCCCCTCCCCTTGTCCCCTCCCCCGGAAGCCACAGCCCCCTCCACGCTTGGTCCGGGCCGGGATTGATGATGATCGTCGAGAGTGAAGAAGACGAGTTGGGCGGAGGCAGAAAACCAAGCATGCAGCCTGCTGCAAGTTAGTAGCATGTAGTCAGTCTCCCATCACTCCCCCACAAGCGTAGCACATGGCCTACCAACATCAGTTCTTCAGGTCAAGCTCTCGCAAGCATCGACCGCTCGGCTGACTCGTCTGACAGAGACCAAGTCAGCGCGGCCGCCTCGCTGTCGCCCTCGCACCTCCACTCCCTACCCCCCCACACCGCGCACCATCTCTCCCCACCTCCCACCTCTGCCATGTGTACGCGTATACCCATGGCTGCATACACACACTACTATTACCACCACTACCCCCCTACCCTTGCCATTGCCCCTCCCCCCCCCCCCCCCCCTCCCTTCTCCCCCTTACCGACCTTCTTTGGCACCGACTCACATATTTGTGCGAACACAACCGAACGCAACCGAACCCGTACCACCACCACCACCTCGTGGTGACTCTCCCGCTCCTCACCCCCACGTGCTTTGTCTGCCTCTGCCTCTGTGTCTGCCTCTGTGACTCTGTTCTGTGGATGTGGCGTTCGGTCTCGGTCTCGGTCTCGGTCTCGGTTCCTGTCTTCTGCTGCTGTCTGTCTCGTCGCTTTCTCGTCGTCTTGCTGCGCTGCGTCGTCGTCGGCATGACTCTCGGCGTGGTCACTCGGTCTCGGCCCTGCATGTGGTGCGGCGGTTTCTGTTGTCGACGGACTGCTGGTATGAACCCTCCACAGCCGTCCAATGGCCAACCGAGTCCGAGTCTGAACTCGAAGCCCGGGTCCGCAAGGAGCAGGAGGCCTACCGCCAAGCCATGTTCTCCACGTCTGACTCTGGGGCACCACCGGGTCTTGTCCTTCCGCACGCAGCGCCGTCGACGGCGCTGCCGTCGGCCTCGCCGTTTGCGTCGTCGCCTGCGGTCTTCTCGTCGCCGGCTGCATCAGCGCCGCCAGCCACTGGCATCCCCGGCGCTGCGCCGCCGCTC